GAGCTGCAGTGTTTGGCCAAAGGGGCCCCCTCTGTGTTCCCTCTCTACCCCGGAGCAGAAGCCAAGGCGTTCTGGGCTGCGATTCAAGAGCAATAAACTTCTCCAGCATTTTAGAGATGACATTTGGAGGTATCAGCATGCTAAGCCTGGGAGGGGTTGGCCCATTGCTCTGCCGACACGACCCTGGGAGCTGCCACTGCCTCGTCTGCACTGAGGGGATTTGTGTCAGTGCTGGGCCTTAAAATACCAACGCTCAGCCCCCCCCCACCCTTTCTACTGTCGATGCTTCAGACTCCCCCAAACTGACTCAATGACGCAGACGCACTTTCACTGGTCTTTTTCTTCTCCAACAAAGGACTTGATGCATCAAACTGTGTGACATTTTATTAGGCCATGTATTAGGGGTTATTTTTTAACATTCAGTAATCCAGGTATGCATTCATGGTTTCATTTAAACTGGCAATTCTACAATAGAATTGTAAACCTATTGTGATGTAATGGGATTGTAAAAAAATACTATCTCTAGAATCTGTTTATCCTAAGCTAAAAGCTTGTGTACAACAAAAATCTATAATAAATGAAACTTAAAGTATTGAAATTGTGACATCAAAAAAGAAAGATGCAAAGAACTGACATGTTATTCAAACAGACTTTTTAAGATACACTCGTCTCTCAACCAGAAGCTCAGGGGTTTGGTTCCCCAGCTCCTGCAGCTACATGTCGATGTGTCCTTGGGCAATACACCTAACCCACTGCTGCGTCAGCCGAGTGTGAATGTGTATGAATGGACTAGTTAATAAACTGATGGACACTTTACATAGCAGCCTCTGCCATCAGTGTGCGAATGTGTAGGTGTGACCTGCGGTGGAAAAAGCGCTAGTCCATTTACCATTGCCATATTTCCGAACATTCAAAATGATTTTTGAACTCTGGACATTTTCTTGTTCAGTTACTGAGGTGAGCAGTAAAATCTAGAATAAAAGTTGCACTGGTATAAAAAGACCCAGTCTGTTTTTGGCCTGCGTAATCATTTCCATTGCATTCAGTAAAGTCCACTGTGTAGGTTTTTCCAGTAGGCTACCATCTGTTTTTTCGTCATGTGTAGTTTGCATTCCTGCTAGCTACCGCTGCAGTAGTAGAGCTCTCAGCCTACGTTTACAGTAATACAGTAGCTGCTTAAATAGGGACCAACAGCCGGGGACCAGTTAGCCTAGCGTCGTGTTTCCAATCTCCACCGGTCACTTGCTGTGTCATGTCAAACAAACCAGCTCTCCACAAGGATAATTAGCTTAACAGTATACAACCGTTTTCTGTAAATGCACGATTATGAACTAATGAGGGAGAAAAGCTGTTGAAAAATGACAGAAAAATGGTGCCACTAGCTGGGTCCCTGTTGCTATGTATCACAGCAATCTTTGCGCACCTAAATAGCCACTTGCAATACACAATGAATGGGGGCACTTTTTTAATCATGTCAGGTCGGGTGCAGTGGGTGAGGCTCTTGCCGTCATGAACGCCCATGTCTGAGCATTTTACTCTGCTATTTTAGTCGCTGTGGTACATAAAATGCAGTTAACTTTTTAGATGAAAAAATACTGAGGGTATTAAACATGTACACTGGCATACAAAGACAGACGTTGTAGCTTTAAAAAAAAATGTTTTAACTATAGATTGCTTGAAAGAGCAAGTTAAATCTTGCAACTATCCAGATTCAGCGGAACAAGCTGCTCTGCTGAATTAAATTACAAAAGGATACAAAATGTACTCAGCCTCATCAGATAAGATTCTTATCAGAGCTGACCAAAGGTGCAGCTTCTTTGATCACGCTTTGTCTGGTGTCGCCTGCTTCCTCCTCATCTGTTTCTTTCTGTGGCATTCGGTGAGTCGTCTGAAGCTGAGACAATTACTGAGAGCCTGTTGTTCATTTACTCCCACAAGGCCGAAAGGCGGAGGTGATGAAGCAGCTGTTGGCTGGCATGCTAAATGAAACGAGCGCACACACGGTGCATGCCTAAACAGCTCTGTATGAGACTTGTCATGCAGAGAAGTGGGGGGGCTGCTCAACTTCACTGCTAATCAGGATGCCTCTGCAATGTCTTGGGGGCCTCTGTTTGTTGCTCTTCTCTGGTGCTCTGCCCAGTTTTGCTTGATTTCCTCATTTGGTTCTCATTTGCTCGGTTGCCCCCACAATGAGAGAAACTGGCTTTCATGGGTCTCTCAGGGAAAAACAGCAGAAAGGCAGCGCAGTTTAGAATAAGCAGCATCTGGGTCTCCTTCATTTTAAAACTAGCCAGTAGGTTGTTATGGGCTCGTACCATTAAAATGATGAGAGCGAAACACAACTCTTTGCGTTGCTTAATGTTGTGTGCAAAGTGTAATACAATGGAGGTTATTGAGAGACGCCTCCTTAGAAACTCAGTAAGGATTCAATCTCAGCTTAAACTGACAATTATAGAGATATCTGGAAAGGACTCAGCAGCAGCCACATTTCATCCCTAAACAAACAAAATATGATTTTGTCAGTACAGAACAAGCTGTGGTGCCTGAAGACTCAGGGACACTTCATGGTTGTACTTATCAAATCCATCTCTTCATCCTTTATCACATATTTCTCCCCCTACTGTCTGCCTGATAGAGGTTTTGTATGAGAGAAGAAAAACAGGCTTCAAAGAGAGCGAGGGGAAATGTTTTCTGTCCTCACAGCTCGGATTGGCCATAACAACCTGTGTGCTACACCTGCATAGTGCCCCCCCTCCCTCAACATACCCATTTTAAAACCACTCAAAAGCTCCCAGAAGCCCTGTACCTACTGCGTGAGCTATTGAGTAGAATCAGAAGAAAACATGGCTCCATCACGCCAAACCACCACCTTTTCAGCCAAAATAGCAGCTTTGAGAGAGAGAGAGAGAGAGAGAGAGAGAGAGAGAGAGAGAGAGAGCAAAGGATGGACTTGGACGGAGAAAGGGAAAGGGGGCAAGGCGAGGGGGAGGGTCAATCGCTCTGTGGGAGGCAGAGAATGAGGGAGCACAAACATAGAACTGGTATTGGCTCAGAGCCATGTTTGTGTCACTAACAGAAGTAGCCTTGTCTTTGCCCCCCCCCCCTCCTGCCCAAAAGCCCCCTGCCTTGCACTCGCTCTCTCCCAGTTTGCTTGGAAACAGAGTCAAGGGGCGAGCGGCTGGATGCTTGGAAACAGAAGAGAGTCCTGATAGAGCCGAGGACAGGGGTGAATCAGACGAAGCCCACGGCTGGAGCAAAAATCAAAAAAAGGAGGAGGAGGAGGAGGGGAGGGGGGGAGAGCACTCAATAGCGGGGACGTTGCTTTGGGAATGTTGATGAGGCAGGGACCTTTTCTGTTCGGCTCCTCTGAGTGAAACCAACAAGCAGCACTGTGGCTGTGTGGGCGATTTGTACTCAGCATGCCCGCAGAGCAAGTGAGCTGCAAGCTGCTTTGAAGATTAGGTATTTGCAGTATTTCACATGCACGACAGAAAAAGAGGGCAGTTTTTTCAGAGCCAGCACAACCCGATAGTGCCAGTGATACATCTTCAAATTAAATGAGCTGAATGCGGTTTCCATCAAAGAGACGAAAACTGTGAGCGTCTGAGATTTCACTCGGACTGCACTGCAGGAGGGAAGCCAACTCTATTCCCAACTGGCACTCTCGCAAAAAAAAGTGCTTTGTGTACTGAGGCATGTTGTTTGTTAGCAGATATCTCTGTGCAACAAACTCCCGTCTGCACTCTCCTGAGCAGAGAACTAAATCAAGGCCACCTAGGAACTGTCTGCCAACTACTATTCTTGTTGGCAATATTATGCTGCATGTGGACTGTTAAAGCATGTTATAATACCAACACCAGCTCCCGAGGCAGTCAGGCCTTATCCAATTACATCGTAACAACCATAACATGTATGGTCATGAAAGCTAAAGGGTATTTTTCAAATAATGGGAGCTTTGACTAAAAGCTCCTTGACAAACAAATACCTCTGGGATGTTTTAATGCATCCACACTGGCTATGCCAATACAAGCACAAAATAAACTTTCCCCATATGTTTATAGTCTTTATACAATGAGTGTACTCCTCTCTGCTCAGGACATAATAACAATGCAGCACCATACTCTGGATTTACATTTGGGGAAAAGTCACACTGCTGATTTTTTTGTTTGATCTCATTCATGATCGAAAAAACCTTCTCACATCCATTTCACAAGAATGATGCGTAGGAGAGCAATGTAAACTCCCACACAGCGTCTAACTTGCAAACAAACATTTATTAGCAACGTTTCGGGTCTAGACCTTCATCAAGGTCTTGAAATATATTTCAACTATTTGCATTACAAAAAAGTACAATGAAGCTGCCCCCAGTTTTCCTTTTTCCATTTGATTGACAAAGAAATAGAGTTCAACTTCCACATTAGAAGTTATGTTCAACATATTATATTATTTGAAATGGTTATCACTGTATTTGGACAACTAAATGTAACTCACTTGTGACATTAGTCTCACTGTTGTTTGTTGTTATTGTCAGTTTTTATGTAACACTGGTTTGGGAAGGCAACATTTAGTCCACTGTAAGTCTCAAACATCTGGTAGAATTAACAATAAAGTCAAGTAGCTTATCTTGGTGAACATGATTACACAATCAATACACTCTTTTCTCCCTTTTCTGTGTGGTTATGCAGTGATCAGAAGGACCAGACAGCCTCATGTTTGATGTTTCATGTTGTACTGAGTGGAGTAAAAACAAAGGAGAATGGTTTACATAAAAGTTGAAGGACACAGAACCTGAGCAGAGAGTCTATCTTACATTTAATAGATCAAAATTGCTTTAGAATGGACAATCACAGCGATGTTTATTAATGCTGAAGAGCCTAACTGCCAGGTGATGGATTGTTCACTTGGAATTGTTTTTTGGTATTTTTTTTTTTTGGACATAACCAGGAGACACTATCAAAACTATCGCCTGTACAACACAGGTCGGAAAGCCATTCGCTTACCGTCTTCCGTTTCCTGCCACACTATTCCTTCCAGATTGACACTGGTGCCGGGCTCGCAGGGTCCCAAGCATTCAGGCTCGGTAGCCAGGGCCACATCGGACGTGTTCACCGCCACGGAGCGTGTGCGCACCATTATCTGCTCACACGGCGAGGAGATCTCACTGTTGCCTACCGTGGCCAGGAGGTGGAGAGGGGGAGGGGCTGGCGTGGAGACAGGGGACTCCATCTGTGAACAGATAGGCAAGAGAGGAACACATGAGACACTTCAGAAACACTGTTGAAACATGTAGAGAGTGGAAACAGCCAAGGGATCGCCACAAAAAGAGGACGTAAACAAAGTGCTGAGCACATGGAAGTCATTGTGGTGCAGCGATGGCCTTTTAATAACAAACCTAATCAGTAAAGTAGTGATGCAGCACTTAATGTTGAAATAAAGTGTGTCTTTCCTCAACCTTAGAGGTGATTAGCAGGAGGGAACTGCAGGGAGGGACATGTGAACTGCCCGCGTGGAAGGACAGAATTAGTTATGCAGGATCGGTCAAACAGTCCCTCCCCCAGCTTTCCTCCAGAGCAAGATCCGTGACACCAAATCATCTCACAGGCTGAACGCTCATTAATTCCCTCAATTAAAAGAGCTAGTTGTGGTATGGGAGCGGGCTGCTGAGGGTCAGTAATTGATTCCACCTGTTCTGATACACTGTGACAGCAATGAAGAGACAGCTGGCCTACATGGGAAAATGAAAAGAGCGAGACGAGGAGGGCGAAGAGGAGGGAAAGCAAACAGGAGAGAGAGAACTGGAGGTAGAAAAGTGTGTAGGCGGAAAAAGAGAGACAGAGAGAAGAAGACTGATGGTGATTTAAGGGCCGCAGACACCAGGCTTAGTGCTCTTCATTCAAGGCAGTCGACATTAAAGCGCTCCAATCATTAGTGGCGAACTGCAGGAGGAATGCCGCGCTGCAGCCAACAGCACACAGTCATTAATTGGGAATAAAGCGCTCAGTGCTCGCCGGGAATATGCTGCCAATGCCGGTTCCAATTAGCCTTGAAGACAATAACAATTGACACTTTGGATTATAAACCTGTTCAACCTGTACAAATGTTTACTAACCTAGCTAATGCTTAAAAACTGAGTATGATATTCAGAATAAAAGTCCTTCGTTGCCGTATATGTCAATGTACTTCTCACTTTGAACACTTAATGGATAAGGATGTTGGATTGTTGTTGTTTGTTTTTAACAGATATTGAAATATGATTTAGCAAACCATGATTATTCACATCAGGGTCCCAGAAGTCCCCGGCCAATCATTCGTAATTCATCACGTTCTACACCACAAGCATCATCATTTAATGCACAAAGTGATGCATAGAAGCTAGTTTGGATTTAAGATTGAATAAATAGATCATAACAAAACCATCTCCTGCAGCCACCCCATGCACTGTCTTCTTGTTCTGACAGTTTTTTAACCACACGACTTGACAAACTGACACCATCAACATGCACATCTTAGAGATGCAAAAGACAAAGTCTGAGGATTCAGCTGCCAAAAGAATGAAGGGTGTATCCATCATAAGATTGATTTGTACAGAATTACACAGAAAATAATGTCCCACAGCTGTCTTTAAAAATTAGCTTCATGGTCTCCATTGGATGAATCCTCGTGACTTTACCGACAAAGACACTTATTGTTCCTCGACAGCAGCCAAATTTATAATCCTGAGAAGTATCTTAGCGTGTAACTAGAACAGGACAGCAAAACATATTTCACAAAGGCTTTCAAGTCTCAGCTGCACTTAGTATACAGGTTTATTTAATGCCAAATAACACAAGCCAGAGCAGAAATGCTATCATACAACACTGTGATGGTGACTATGGCAAAAATGATAACCAAAATATCATATGTTAGCATTGTTTCCATGCATTTATTAGCATTAAGCTGACTGTCTTAAACAGCTTCACAGGGTCAGTTATTAGCATGACCATGACTCTTTCTTTTTAGTATTTTGCTTTTTTTTAAATTCACCCAGGGCTTTGAGATTTCATGATCTTGCAAGATTTTGTCACATTTTCCTGCAAGTATGAAAATGTAGCTGAGGCTTACATCAACAATAAACTACTAAATAAAAGATACATTATAACATTGTGTCTCATTACATTACAGAAGTTTCTTTACAAAATCTGATTCTATGTTATTATTAGATTTCACATAACTCAAGGTGAATAATACTTTTGATGGATTTATAATTAATCTAATTTCTTGGAATGAATAAAGATGCTGCGATGAATCATGACTCAAAACACTTATTATTGGAAAGCAAAAAAACATCTGTCAGACATTTCAGAAGACCGAATGAGAAATCTGAATCTGTGATGAACCGAGTGCTTTGAAAACCAAACATTAGTCCCTGATGAAATGTAATATTAGCTCTAGCAGAAGCTTCATATTTCTTAGTTTACAGAAATGAGCATGGATAGCCCCATTTCTGCTCAGAGGAAGAGCAAATGAATGTGTGCAGAGAGCGGCCGAGAGTCTAGCCTAACGACATTGTAATCACTGTGTGTCAGACACTGATGCATGACGTGACCAAGCTGCAGGCCGGCTGAGTGAATGAGACAGGACAGGTAATCACCCGAGCTGTCACCACACACTGTTTCCAGGCCTTATGGAGACGCAGAGAGCCGCAGACAAGACCACACAACCAGCCCTCCATCAGAGTGACAGCACACGGTGAGAGGTGCAAACAGGTTCATCCAGAGTCTCCTCTAAATTGACTCGAACCTTCAAACTAGAAACCGTCCATGAAAAGATCTGAGGGTTATCTTTGTCAAATTTACGATGACACAATAATGAATGGAAATAAGGAAATTATCTCTTCTCCCAGAGGAAATTGTAATGACAGGGGAAGGCTTATAATTATCACATTTTCACATTTCCCTCATTCATTTGGCTCGCTGGTAGTGGGCGATGCTTTACTTATACACCTATGGATCCAGATGTAAGCTTGTAAGACCCATCTAATATGAGAGAAATCCACAATGTGTGATCACATTATTTAATCTTGAAATGAAGATATGACCTGTGATACATTGACGAATAAGAAATGGTGAATATTAGCTTTAAATGTCCCATCATGCAGGTCAAATGTTGGTCAAATGCATGCTGAAAGAGAATGCATGGTGCACATACATTGATTACATACGAGTTTTACGCAGTCTTATGCAATGTGCTTATTGTTCATATTGCCATGATGATGAGCATGCAATATATTGACCATCCCTGTATTGTGTTGACCTAATAGACCTATGAAATGTAAGCTTATACTTAAAGATTTACATCTTTTCTAGAATTCTTTTTAATGTTGTCTCACGTCTTGTTTCACCAACAGACCGACCAATAGCAGCGAGGAGTCTGTGAAAAAAACCCAACTCAAGTCAAATTGAAGTAGCTACTTTAGAAATGAAATGTTAACATTACTCATTAAATCAAAATATTTGTAAAAAGTCAAGTAAAGTTCAAGGACCCCACCCCACCCCCCCGCGCCAAAAGTATTAACTTTTGTTAATCCAGCACTCCAGATATTTGTTTTGAAAGCAGGTAAATCCTAGAACTTCTAAACCTTTGATTCCTGGGATGAATCATTCCTGTGAATCAGGTCCTATTGATCACTTTAACAGCCTTACACAACATGTTCAGAACAAGTTCACCTGACCTAGATCATTTCTATGTTTACCTTCCCCACTTAAAAATCATTCTTCCAAGACAGTTTAGATATATTTTTTATTCTATGCTGATTTACTTTTAAATCTGAGTATGAAAGGCCAGTCTAAACTCAAGAAGAGAACTCTTCTGTAATGAGCCAACATGGAGCAGAATCACATGAGACGTGAATGAGCAGTGTTGCTTTACTTCCAGCTTCTATCAATGGATGAGTGAACAAAAGGACTTTCACTGTGGGGCTGCAGAATGTAAACCCACACAGGAAAATGCCTAAAGTCTTGTCCGGGGTTTCCACTAAACAACTGAACTACACACTTTGTCACATCACACAAGGCTCTACTAGACGCTCAGCCGATGCCAGGTTCCATTATTTATTCCCTCCTTGCAAGACTTTACAAACAGATTTTCAAATCTCCCCCTTAAACCACAATGCTCGAGTGTCACGCAAGCCTTCTTTTAACTGAAACCCCATGCCAGCTCCTTTAAAAAAAAAAAATTAAAAAAATAAAAAGCCACACTGGGAAGAAAAATGTTTAACTGACTGACAAAAATCCCATGAATCTTGGTCTGGTGTTGAGCATGCGTCTGTGTGCTGATAGAGGGGAAACTCCATCTGGATTTTCAGCGATCATAAAATAACCTCGCCCCGGGAAGACAGACACATGCTGCACTTTTTACTGGACACATTAACTTCAGCTTTAACTTGTTTATTACAGTTGGGATTAAGAAACCGAGCACTGAGCTTGGGCGAGGATTATGACAGGATTACACCGCAGTGTCGCCTTCAGACACCTGTCTTGGCTGTACTCAAGCGGCTGGTGCGAGGCGAGAACATCGCCGACCAAATTTCACCTTGAATCTTTGAATGTAAATATACTGCAGACAGCAGTTCATGTGCCTAAAGTAGTCTCGGACTGAACAGATTCTACTTGACTCACAATGAATCCTGCTAAAGGGGAGACACGTGGGAAGAAATGACCATTTCTCAAACACCTGTATGATTTGTTTTCTGACTAGAGTTTGTTCACAGAATTCTCTATGAATTTAGAAAAGGGCTTATTCAGCATTAATCTCTGTTAAAGCCCCTGGACTGTGAAACTGCCTGCCAGAGGAAATTATGCTGGTTTAATCTTTTAAAGGAGCAATGTGTAAGATATCTACTGAATAAAATCACAAAATAAACTTACTATATATTTCAGAGATGATGAAAACACGCCATGTTGAGGTGCTGGCTTCTCTGAGAACAATGCAGCTGCCAGCGTATCTCCTTTTTTCTCGCATGTTTCAATTCAAGTAATACATTACTACTCATCGCTGCAGCGCTATACATACATACTATACTATTTGTAAAATGTTGATGAGAATAAAAACAACATCCGTTATCAACAGAGCATCTTATCTACTGCTCTGCTTCCTTACACCATGCTCATGTTACACAGTGTAAAGAGTGCATGTTCTGGTCATGGTTGATTTACTCTTTCATTCAACACAGAGAATGATGTTCAGTT